CTTATTACACATATCATAAAACACTATTAAAAAATAAATAAAAAAAAAATATTTCATTTAGAAAAATAACGTTAAATTTTATATCTTTTCTGCCTTCACACCTGCAAAAATTTATCCACGTTAGATTATGTCTTCTTTAAAGATGGAATACTGGACATTTTATGGTCAAAGGTGAATATGCCATTCATAGCGAACATATGGGTGAATACCTTATTAGGTGCAATTTTGTATTAGAAGTACAGCAGTGCAGAATGCAAAGTAGTTTTTAAATATTTATCCCTTCTTCTCAATTTTTTATTTCTGTAAATATTTTGTAAATATAAAACTTTGAAACATTACTCACTAACAAGACATTATTTGGTACTTTCGGCAATGATATTTCATTAATTCTTATCAAGATTTATAACTTCCTACCAACGTAATTTCACGTATTATTTTGAATTTATTTTAAGCATTTGAGATGTTCCGCACTAAATGAAGCAGTAATATATAACATTACCTATTTCCAAGAATGATAACAAATTAAAGTTGTCTAGTTGTAGATCAATAAATATCCCCAATATGGCGTCCAACATTTTTTTTATAATTGTTAATACTTCATCTCCATAGGTGAAATAATCCATGACTACATATACATATGTATAATAGATATAGACGCTAGTTGCGCACTATATATGTACTTATAAAGTGTATATAAAACTATATATGAAAGATTAAGCTTTAATGCACATATATGCGACTTAAGGGATTATGCAATAAACAGTGATCGCTATCTTTTCCTATTTCTCACGATAGATATCTGCCAAACTCACGTGCGCATGCGCGCGTGAGTGATTGATCTTATTGTCGCGTTTATCGTTTTACGAGTTACCTCGACCACTGCGTCAAGAAAACTAAATAGGAATAAAATACTGTGTAGCTACGCGAGTTTTCGTGTATCGTAATCTGAAAACAAAATGCATTGAAAGTAACGTCAATGTCAGAAAATTTTGCAAAAATATGGAAGTTATAGAAATACTGTAGATAGAAAATAAATTCATAGGAAGTACGAAATTTATAAAAAAATTAGACAGAAAATATGCAAAAAATATACGCAAAAAATGTGTTCATGTATAATCGAAATATAAAGAAAGAATTAGAATTTTTTAGAATATATTGAATAATTTTTACAAAATGGATGAAATTAAACATTTTTAATTCTAGTCGGTACCTTGTATAGATTTTAAACGACTTAAAAGGTATAGAAATGAAAAATTAAGGAGAGTGAAACTATACGTATTTGAAACTTCTTTCATATTACCGATGGTATATTGCACGCACTTATTCGTTAAATACAATAATTTAGACGAGAAAAATATTTGATGTCGTTCACAAATGAAAGAAAATTTTGAGAAAGTATTAATTTATTAACTAATATTGCATTATAATTATTTATAATAATCGCAGTTAAAATGATAATTTTAACTATTCGTATTTATTAATTTCGAATTAATTTTAAACCTTTCTAACAATGTATCCAAATTATTTGTGTCTTAAAAGTTTATCAATAAACAGTCTTATAAGAAATAATTTTTACACTTTTTATACTAGTATTTCTTCGTAAATATAATAATAATAATAAGAATAATAATTGTTATAAATAAACATTAAAAATTGTACTCAAAGTAAATTATTAATGTTGCTATAGTTGTGTATTATTCAAATAATATTCTATTCTACGAGTCATGACTGAAATATAGTAATGCCCGTTCGTTCACATAAATATTTTTGAAAATGTATTTAAAAGGAAACGAAAATAATGAATGAGATACGTTATACATTTTCTTTAAGGATAAGAGTATTTAAGTCATTTTTTCTGTCAATTTCCACATACGCCAAATCTATATTTAACTATGCCAAGAAGTTTATAATAAATATTTTTATTATTTTTCATTTTGCTGAATATTTTTCTTAAATACATTGAGGTATGTAAATACTGTCTGTATGTAAGTCTGCTCCCTATTCCAATCTGACCTTAATCAATACAATTCGATTATAGGTACAACTGACATCAGTACATTTCAGAAGAAGCCAACAGTTTCATCATGAACGCACAACGATTGAGACCATTAGTCTTTTATGTTGTCCAAAGGATGGAAGTATAGTGACATTGATAAAACAGGAACAGCCAGAAAGGAAATTGGAAAACTTTTAATTAATAGGGTAAACATGCATCGTATTTAATTTTACATTAATTAATTGAATAATACTTCGAATGTACTGTTACTATCATTGTTATAATTAATAAAAGATTGTATAACCATCACTACTTTGCGACAGAAGATTTGTTTCCGTGATTTTGATACCAGGTATATTTTTCTATCTTTTCTACTAATAAATGTCAATAGTTGAATTGCTATTTTGCAATTCTTTCTCATTTATACGTTGCAGTCTTGGTAAATATGCTTCCAACGAATAGAACGTCACCAGGAATTACGGATGGCATCACACTGTGAGTAATTGGTAATTTTTTATCGCTCGATGTATCAAGTTTTCCTCATTAGAAATACATTCTAAATTTTGTATTAAGGAAAACGTCTTAATTAGTATTTGTTTTATTCCGTGTGTGCTAATATTAGTGCCACTATGACAATAAACGTTGTTTTCTTATAATAAAAGTAAAGAGATACGTTCATAAGTGGCACAGTATTGTTTTCCATCGTTATCTAATATGTCAATTAGTAGAATTTCAAGTATTTAAAAATTCGTTACAACAATCTCTTGAGTAAATGCTTCAAATAAATACGATAATATTATATGTTAATTAATACATAAATGCCGTTTTTCTGTACAATTCGCACTAAAAAAATAGTACATATTTACATCAGCTCTATTCCAATACTATAATAAATACGATTACCTACATAGTTATTAATGTCCTTATATTTTTTAGTTAAGGGGTGAGGAAATATTGAAATAGTCAATGGAACAATTATTGAGAAACTTCAACAATGGAGAAATTATTGAGAAAAAGAGGAAAAAAGTAAAAACATAAAATAACCAAACAAGAAGCAAAATTAAAGAGTGAAAGTATGAAATAAAATATTTTTTTTATTATTTTGTTCAAAAAAAAAGCAAAAGGAAAAGAGAATCCTTTATTCAGTAAATATATGTATACAACTGTTGAATTTAATACTAATATAAGAATCAATATCTTTAAAAATATTTTTCAAATTATCCAGTTTAAAAATCAAAAGCGAATAATAGTAAAAAAATTTAAATATTCAATTTAAATTTAATATTTGCAATGATAATGACACTTCCGGCATGCAGTCAAACGACAATAGAATCACGAGTCTTTGCAATTACTTTAGAAATAAAAGTTCAAGAGCTCTTGTAAAGATTACTACCATCCTACACTAGACTGATTTGATTCGTCATCGTACCTTTCAACATCATTGCAATACATGATACAACTATGACAACTTTAACTACTACTGTAACTGTATCATGATTTTATAAACATTTTGTTCCTCCATTTACCTTTTATATTCTGATATCATTTTTTATTGACAAGGTTTATTTTAAAGTTTAAACATATGTTTTTAAACAATTGCATTTTACCTACTCTTGTGTTTTTCTTCATTCTCTATTTTACCGTAGATATAGAAGTAATTTATTTCTATTTAATAAATTGCATTTGTACTTAAACGATACACTATCGATCCATTTATAAACCGACATGTAACGCGTGACAAATATAAACGAATATTACACATAGAAGAACATCATTCCATAGACATATGATTCACAATGGATAAGTGTTAAGAAAATAATAGCTGCGATAAAACATACATTTTTCATGTGCCAATATGGTCCCCTTATTAATTCAATATTTTATTATACTACAATTTGTGATTTAAAAGCATATTGCCAACTTTAATATTTCAACATTTTATTTGATATTCAAAATGTGTTTTCTGATTGACTGAAACAAAACATAATTAAAAATTTTATCAAAATTCATGAAAATTTGATGGATATCAAATTTTTTTAAAAAAGTTTCTTGAAAATCATATTTTCCTATTAGATGTAAACGCATAGTAAATGTATTTACGGTTTTTGCAATTTTTACTGTTGGTAATATCCGAAAAATTACGGTAACAATGATTGTAAATATATAACATATATACTGTAAACGTGATGTACTTACTTCATAACTGAAAAATATCCTAAGAATTACCGTATCGTTTTCAGCGCGTTAAGTGCAGCAATGCGTAAAAGTGCCACCTGTTACTGGCTTTATCGGTACGACACCGTTAGAGACGATGACATTGGTTATATACAAGCTCACGTGTCCATATCTTTACTGCCGAGACAAATTTTCATTCATTGATTTCCTCAGATATCCTTGCATATACATTTTTCCGTAATAACTCTAGATTAAATGTCATCTTTCTATTCTACTATAGCAATACAGTTGCAATATAGGTAATAACCAACTTGAAATATGAAAACTGTCACATTTGTAACTTTACCATTTATAGTAACATGAAAATAAATATAAATAAAATAAAATTAGTCTCTTTTTCGCTACAAACTCTCGTTACGTATAGGTTACGGGTGTTCAGGAAAACTGGACATACAAAATAAAAAATAATATAATAACTGATGATTGTATAAAAGATACAATAGGAATAACATTCTTGAACGATTACAAATGAAGAGCATGTTCTGAGTAAGTCTGACGTATCACGCTATCATAGGAGTTTCTGCGACAGGCGCACTGACTCACCGGTTAGTATTTGTCGGACAGCGATACGATCGACTTCGTTTCGTGATTGTAAATTTCAAATGTTGAAACCGGTGTTTTGTGACAATATATTGTGTTATTTGTGTGTGTATTTGCATAACATGGTACCAATGATATTAACTATTGTGTTTGTATGAGTGTTCTTTTCCTATATATTTTGTTACATAGACAAACTTGTAATTGAAAAACAAGCAAGTTCTTATTACTTACCAAAACGTCGTAAGTGTTAAAAACTGTATACATATTTTTTGTATATCAATAATTGCATATGCTATAATTAAATGAATTATGAATTTATTTTATTGGAACGTTTAGGTACATAATGAAATAAATATCAATATATGATTATTTTAAGCAAAAGTAAAACTACGTAAAAATTTATTATTCAATCACTAAAAACAAAGAACATGTTATCGATAAAAGTAAATTTTCATATAAATTATTATCTGCTTAAGATATTAACAAAATAGTGTAACAAACATAGAATGACATATTTAAACAAAAAAGTACATCAGTTTTCTATGGTATAGAAAGAATTCCATAAACATATAAAGATAGCTTTCAAAAAATTAATTGTATTATATGTCATATTGATATACTAAATTATTATACTAAATTATTACAGAAAGCTACATAATGAACTTTATTTCTGTGTAACATATACATTTGCAATAAAGGATGAATAGAATTTAAAGTATTGTAAGTAAAGGTATTAACATTTAACATTAATATAATATTTATCTCTTTATTTTGGTTATGTATTTGGAATTCATCAAACTTCTCTTTTATTTTTAACAGAAATGACAGAATGTTGTAGATAAAGATATCAAATAGGAATAAGCGTATAATCCATTCAAACATATAAATACAACAAAACTCCTTGCTACAGCATTAATATTTTCTAAAATACATAAGTAACAACTATCATATTATGATATTTTTGAAACAAAATAAAAATATTTCCATTTATTGGATGTGTACACAGCTAAAATCAGTTTCTTTGTGCGGTTTAGATTATAGTTCTAACTATTTGAAATTTTACATGTGTATATATAATTATATATATATATATATACACATTTTAAGATATTATTTCAGATTATAAATGGTATCAATGAATCATGAATGACACGATAAAGTAAAATCTTTTAATCAATATATTCATATTTTTAGTTTCAAAAAATTTATAAATATTATCATTATATAGAAAACGATTTATTTTATTTGTATTATAATTTCAAAATAATAGAACATAAAAATCTTTTAACTCATAAAATAATAAGAAATGTAATGAATATGTGTTTTAATTTATTCTCGCTCATTCATTGTTACAAACATAAATAGAAAAAAGGTACATTTAAATCTTTTTTTAATTGCTCAATTACCAGATCCGATTAAAAGGTTTTATTAGTTACTAAAATTTGTAAGTTATTTATCTATATGATAAGATAAGCTTGCGCTGATTAGATTATACGCAATTTATATGTTCTTTTATCAAAATTTTGGTAAAAATTATGTACTTACTCTAAGGAAAGATAAACTATACATAGTATTGATTATGGATAATCATATTCTTTTCACGATATTACTAATCATCAACAGCAATTTATCAAAACATTCACTTTTTGTTATTCATATAAAAGTGCTGGTTATATTTATGACACCAAAATAAGAATTACAATTATTGTCTGATTAATTTTTATATTATATTATTATATTTATATTATATTATAAACAGAGTGTAAATCCCAAAATGTACGATTTTATTTTGTATTTTTTCTGTAAGTTCTTTTTTTCTTTCGTGCTTTTGTTTTCATGAGTATATAAAGTACAAAGTAAAATATCATTAAGAAAATTATAATAAAATTGCTTATGCAGGGTACTGAAAAAAATTGTTATAATTGATAAGTAAAAGCATATAAATGTATGAAAACAAAATTACAGAATTGAAAATCAAAACTAGTAATGCATCAGATGAATATGTTAAAGACGAATTAGTCACTTTTTTTATTGTTTTTGCAGTGAGAAACTTATTGAATTTAATTCAATCAAATAGGAACTAGAACTTAATTAAATGGGAACTATATTGATTTATATTCCTAGGTAATACAGGAATATTTAACTTGTTAAATTGATAATAATGTAAATTACATTTGTGTTACAAAATGTAGAGGATATTTATAGAGAATACATGTTTTATTAATTCATGTGCTATACAGAGTAATGAATATAAAAAGTAACGATTGAATATCTTAATATATATTAAACATACCAAAAATAACTGTGCAATATGATGGAAGGTTTGAATTTTAATGTTTTGATTCAAACGCATTTATAATGAATATTACTTACAATGTATAATAGTATACATAATAGTATACATATATTTATCTACTATAATTATTTAGCACAATCCAAGATAAGCATTGTAAAAGCGTTAAAGAGAAAAATTTGTTATAATGTTTGTTAATAGAATATTTCTTGCAAAACATATTGTGTCGCATAAAAGTTTATCGAATGTATATATTTATTGTACATGAAAATATTAAGTTCCAATATAGGTATGCGTATGTATAGTATACTTCCAAAGAAGATACTAAAAAATTTCAAAAATATTGGAAATAATTTAATATGTATGTATATATATAACAAGTTATGCCTTATGCTAATTTGTCATTTTACAATTATAATTGAATTTTCCAAATTTTTTGCTTTTTACATTAGAAATAATCTGGTTTTATTATAATTTGTAATTACTAATGTTATTCTTATCCTCATTAAATTAAAAGAATTAATGGAATTAATTGAGAATCTTATTGTAAAAATATATTCAGTTTTAAGTGAAATGCTATAGGTATATAGTTTTAAAAAGCACGTTGAACCAAGGAACATGACATGAGATATGTAAAATGCTAACATATCACATTATTTTAACTTCACGAAGAAACATTAGCGTTGAATAATCGGACATCTGTATTCAATACGCGTTGAAACATTTCGCTACCTTGAACTCAATAATTCATCGAAAAAAATATACTTTGGAAGAAATAATTACCATTGTTAATATTTATTTATTACATTCGTTCCTTATATAATTAATAGAATTAATTTCTTTATATTTATTAGGTATATAAATTAATATTATAATATATATTAAAATGTAAATATTTTAGATTCTCAATCATTTTATTTTCTTCTTTTATAAAAAATAACCAAAGGAAGAACCACATTTGTTTCAGAAGAATAAATATTCCGATAAATAAAAATTTCTATTTAAGATTATGATTTGTAAGATTTCCAGGTTATGATTATTTTTTTTATACAGAGAAATATTTTATTGATATAGTAACATAGTTCATTACAAAAGTGAATTTAATCATAATATTTGAAAATATGTTAATTTTCAAATGTTTAATATTACATGTGAGACGGAATAATTAAATTTAAACCTACTTGTTTTCTCATTATTTTGAAACTTATCAAAGAAATAATCATTTATTTATCGAATAAATCAAATTAAACCAATAATATATCAATTCTCAGTTTCTTGGAAGAAAACACATCGTTTAGCAATTTTCAATTTCCTACTTCTATTGTTAGAGAAATAATAGACTAAAACGTGATTTCTTGTTTGAATTCTGTTTCTTGAAGTTACAATTTAGTTGTAATTTTTCTTCTTTTAAATGAAATTATTAAGAGACTACTATTTTTATTGGTCAATTTCTATTTCCATGTTTCGGAAAAATAATAAATTCAATAAAATTCGATAATTGAAACAATTAGATCCAAAATTTTTAATTTTTATGAATCAAAATGGCGTAATTCTCTATATAAAAAATAAAAGCAAACTGTCTCGACTAAATCGACATTGAAAATTTATCGATTATGAATATTTATGTGTGGTTTAGTTAGTATCGAATCGAGGTCATTGTGACATCAAAGATTATAATAAATTACTTATCGTTTATTCTACAATACTTATTTGAAATCACAAAACACAAAACAAACATGTTCTTACTTAAAAATTATATTTTATTGATATAAACATTGTTGTTAAGGATGAATGTAGAAATTTTGCATTTATATTAACATAAAATGTAATAATAATATAATATTATCTTTTGATATATAAAAAAGATTTTTGTAAGGCAAAATTTACCGCGTTTGAAAGGTCCAAATTAATAATTTTTTGGTACATTTTATTTACAATTTTTGCTTGTAACAATTTACAAGTGAACTAAGATTTTTAATTTACCAATTATCTGTTTCCATATAAAACAACCTTATAATGTTGGAACATGTATTAAATATTTAACACAAAAACTAAGAAATACAAAATTATGCAATAACAATTACAATTGTTAATTCTATCAAAATATTAAATTCTGTCATGATATCGTGAAGAAAATTGATAGCTAAATAACACTAAAGTATCCAAAATGAGTAAAACAATCATAAATAAATAAAATATTAAACAATTTTTATTTCATATTAGTGGAATTTTTAATATGTTCAAGTATATATGAATTTTCAGTTTATTATGTGTTAGTAACATCTTATGTATTATAATTTTTGTGTCAATAAATCAGTATTAATTCTATTCGCAGATAATTACATTATAACGACGGTACAAATGGGTGAATCGATCAAATCCATCAAGTCTCTAGATTCTTATGGACAGTGATCCTTATAATTTCAATAATTTCATATTGAACAATCATAAATCTTTACGTTTTTGTAACATTTATAAGAAATATCAGAAATGACATACATATATACAAATAAGTATGTCACTCCATTTAGTCGTCGTTTCACCGTTATTGATACGGACACTGCTCTTTAGTGCATTTAATTTTTGGGTAATTTTAATTTATAATTGGCTACAGTTTGTATTGCTTTTATTTACAAGATTATACAAGATTATAGTTTTTATATAAAAAATTTAGTTAGTATATGTGTTTTTATGACAGAACTATGTCCTAAAAAGTTCTGGAGTATGACTCACAGTCCTCTTACTGAAAGGTGTATACTCCGGCCTTCTCTATTCCGTAGCCACATTAGGACATTGTTTTCTGTCAAAGTAAATGGTGGTCTGTTTGTCATTTCTAACTTTCACTAGCCTCGTTCAAAGTAACGTGTGTGTGACAATCGATAGTTGGATGATCCAAAAAAGATACCAACCATCATTTGACGTCAATTTGCTTAGTCTTGTTTATCTT